CCGCTTTCCTGTGCCCGATCGGCTCCTCGCAGCCCCGCGCTCCGCCGCCCTGTCTGTTGGTTGGTTTCATACTTATATTGTCCAGAGCTAGTGGGCACGGCTTGTGTGTCCCTAGCCCTTTAAAGGGCCCGGTTCTCTGTAATCTCAGTCAGTCAGTCAGTTTCGTCGTTGGCCGCGACGTTAAATAAGGAGCTGGATGAGTGCCGGTGGGTGATACCACAGGCACGGGTTCGAACCCCAGCCGGAACACTAGCTGGGACTTTGCCTCACGGCACCTTCGTGGCGGCATCTGGGCGGCGGACGGCTGCCCGGCAGACCGGCATGGCGCTTGCAAGACGGAGCCTCCCCGGGATGCCATCGGCGGCCAGATTTTCCTCGCTCTGGACAGCCGGCAGGGTTAGCGGGTTCGGCCCCAACACATTAATGTGCCCAATCCCTGTAACACACACACACACACATTTCGTCTTCTCTGGCGTCCCCCTTTCTCCCCTCTCCTCGTTGGCAGCTGGCTGCCCCCTTCTCCCGTGTGATCTTACCTGAGCCTTGGCCCCCTGCGTCGCCTGCCCTTTGAGGCGGTCCCCGCCCGCCCGCCTGGCCGCTCCTCAGCTTCTGTGCCGGGGTGGGTGGCGTCTCTGAGCCGCTTGCGCCGCCTGCTGGCGGTCCTGGCCCTTGATCCCCCTCTTTCCCCTGTCTGTTGCCCCCCGTTTCCCCTCCTCACAACTCTCTGACAGTCACTGGGCTGGCTCCCAGGCACCCTCCGCTTTCCCTGTGCCCGATCGGCTCCTCGCAGCCCCGCGCTCCGCCGCCCTGTCTGTTGGTTGGTTTCATACTTATATTGTCCAGAGCTAGTGGGCACGGCTTGTGTGTCCCTAGCCCTTTAAAGGGCCCGGTTCTCTGTAATCTCAGTCAGTCAGTCAGTTTCGTCGTTGGCCGCGACGTTAAATAAGGAGCTGGATGAGTGCCGGTGGGTGATACCACAGGCACGAGTTCGAACCCCAGCCGGAACACTAGCTGGGACTTTGCCTCACGGCACCTTCGTGGCGGCATCTGGGCGGCGGACGGCTGCCCGGCAGACCGGCATGGCGCTTGCAAGACGGAGCCTCCCCGGGATGCCATCGGCGGCCAGATTTTCCTCGCTCTGGACAGCCGGCAGGGTTAGCGGGTTCGGCCCCAACACATTAATGTGCCCAATCCCTGTAACACACACACACACACATTTCGTCTTCTCTGGCGTCCCCCTTTCTCCCCTCTCCTCGTTGGCAGCTGGCTGCCCCCTTCTCCCGTGTGATCTTACCTGAGCCTTGGCCCCCTGCGTCGCCTGCCCTTTGAGGCGGTCCCCGCCCGCCCGCCTGGCCGCTCCTCAGCTTCTGTGCCGGGGTGGGTGGCGTCTCTGAGCCGCTTGCGCCGCCTGCTGGCGGTCCTGGCCCTTGATCCCCCTCTTTCCCCTGTCTGTTGCCCCCCGTTTCCCCTCCTCACAACTCTCTGACAGTCACTGGGCTGGCTCCCAGGCACCCTCCGCTTTCCCTGCCGCCCGCTGTGCCCGATCGGCTCCTCGCAGCCCCGCGCTCCGCCGCCCTGTCTGTTGGTTGGTTTCATACTTATATTGTCCAGAGCTAGTGGGCTGTCTGTCTGTCTGTTACACCCATAAGGAGCAAATGAATGCTACGGGCCCAGCTGTGGTGCCAAACAGCTGGAAAAGTATGCACCAACACAAAACACATGAGGGAAGAGATTCAGGTATGGGGGGTAGAGCTGTACACAACATTGCAGCAAATACAAAACCCACCCAAAATTATAAGCTGCATGCCCCAAGCAATACACACGGTGGGCATCTGCATAAAGATAGCAAGAGGCATTTAATGAAGCGCCGGATAAGCTCAACCCCGGGCCAGCCGAGCCGACCGCCTGGGCAGGGCCGTCAAGACGTGCCCAGGGGCCACCTCGACTGGGGATGGGGCACGAGATGAGGGTGTGGAGGTGGCGGCCTCCGCCTGGTGCCTCGCCGCCGTCTCCCGCCGCTGGCGTCACCGCCGCGCAGTTGAGGATTCGGGCCGCTCGTCTGCCGCAGGCGACTTGGGGTTAGGCGGGGCAGCA